GACCTGTAGCCTTTAACCACTTGTCTCGACACTTCACTATTTGACTGCTGTCATTATGAAATCGTATTTTTGGTGTGTTGTCATCATTTTAGCCCATTTATCAAACAGTTCTATCCGTTATTTTTGTCACAACAGTTGCACTGTGTTGCTGCTTTGCAAGGATCTAAAGTGCTTCTATGTAAAATGCATGTAAAAACAGCCAACTGGCTGCCTGCCGTCCCAAACGCTTGCCTTGTGCCAGAGCCGCAGGGCACTCAGAAATGATATCAACCACATCAGAGCTCCTTCAGTAATCAGATTCATTCTCCGCCAGCCTGGTAAGCAGCCCTTCCTTTTTGATACCCGCTCGTTTAGTTTATAATGATGCACACCAGACATCAGTGTGGGCTTTTCAAACATAAGCTGTTTTTAATGGTTCATTAAGGGCTTCAAGGAAGTCTAAAGAAGAAAATAATTGCCATTTGATTGGTAAATGTGTTTTTGGTAAGAGAAGGAGTAATGTGTGCACCATATGTTATATGAGTGTGTGTGGGAGTGTGGCCAGTGTTTAGCAGGTGTTTGGCTGCTGTGTTTAGTGGTTTTCTCTTGCTGGGATCAATGCCATGGCTGAACGTGCTCCAAGAGGTCTCAAGGACCATTATTGAGATGTACCAAAACATTTCAGAAAAAAGACTCATTCATTAAATTGTCTGGTTGTCCATGGAGCATCCCTATAATTTACACTTTGTTGCCTGTTTGTGAACAGGTTTTTGAGTATCTCTTTGTATGTTAATATGTGATGATAACCGTGTTATCAGTATATTTGTTCTACAGCAGAAGGGTTTGTGAGTACAAACAGTTCTTTGTCGGTGTAAACCCAGATTAACCTCGAGTGTTTGACCACTCAGCTACAAATGTCCCATGTTGCTGCTTTGATTTACTTTCTATTACTTAGTGAGGCTTAAAGGGGTCATATGATGTGATTTCAAGTTTTCCTTTCTCTTTGGAGTGTTACAAGCTGATTGTGCATAGATAAGATCCCTGAAGTTGCAAAGACTAAAGTCTCAAAACCAAAGAGATATTCTTTATCAAAGTTAAGACTCTGCCACACCCCCTAAAACAGCTCGTTCTAACACGACCCCACATATCTACCTCACTATGTGGAAATCGAGAGAGAGCGTGAGAGAGAGAGAGAGAAAGAGAGAGAGAGCGTGAAAGAGCGAGAGAGAGAGCGAGCGCGAGAGAGAGAGAGAGAGAGCGAGCGAGCGCGAGAGAGAGAGAGGAGCGCGAGAGAGAGAGAGAGCGAGCGAGCGCGAGAGAGAGAGAGGGTCACATCACAGTGGAGTCAGCTGTCTTAACCGTGGCTTGTGTACTGCAAACACATACCAGCTTCATCACTGTGTCTGTCACGCGACTCTGTTCCCCTTTCGGGCTCTGTCTTTATATTTGTTTTGAAAGATGAAGCTCGCGATTATGGTAAGGGGCGTTACATTTCCGACGAGTGCTTGCGGTGTTCAGCCAATCACAATGCACTGGGTCAGCTGGCCAATCAGAGCAGACTGCACTTGTCGGAAGGAGGGACTTTGTAGAAAACGAAGCGTTTGAGAGAGGCGGGGCATAGAGGACCTACAATAATGTACAGTATTTGAAAAATAATGTGTTTTTTGAACATTAAAGCATGTCAACATATTCTGTTACACCAAATACACAAAATAATGATCTTTAAAAAAGCAAAGACCCCTTTAAGGCATTTTCAAATAGTGCAGTGTTGTTTCTAAGCAGCCGTACAGGGGACCCAGAGCCATATTTATGGTCCATAATAAAAAAAGATGTGTTTCTATTCAATTTGCGAATTGAATTATCAGAAAAAATTTAATTATCGGTTTCCATCCCATGTGTTTAAAAGAAAAAAAAAATCATTACATACTTTCAGGTAAACAGAAAAAAGAAATGTACATTGTAGTCACTTACTATGTTGTAGTCACTGTGGCTCTTTTGTTATTAAATATAATAAATTCTAAACATTTTAGAGTGTGCTTTATGTTTGCTCATAGTTGGCAGATGACAGGTTTTGGCTTCTACCTTTCAGAATGACCAAAATAAAATTTTTAAATCTTTTTGTCATGGCTTGTGAGTGTATATATTAAAAAAATTGCTTATTTTGGTAATTGTATTAATATTTTGGTGTTTCCATTCGACATTCAATATACAATATTTCAAAATGACTTTACTGTTCAAATGGAGGTTGAAAAGATGTTTTACATTTTTTGAAAGAAGTCTTATGCTTACCAAAGCAGGATTTATTTGTTCAAAAATACAATAAAAACAGTAATATTGTGAAATATTATTGCAAATTAAAATAACTGTTTTCCGTTGTAATATATTTTAAAATGTAATATATTTATTCATTTATTCCTGAATTTTCAGCATCATTACTCCAGTCTCCAGTGTCACATGATCCTTGAGAAATTATTTTAATATGCTGATTTGGTGCTTAAGAAACATTTCTTATTATTATAAATGCTGAAAACAGTTATGCTGCTTAGTATTTTTTGTGGAAACCATGCTACATTTTTCTTCAGTATTCTTTGATATATAGAAAGTTCTAAAGAACATAATTTTGAATGGTAGTCTTGTCGCATCTTGGTGTCAAGTTTTGCATAGGCAAAAACCACAATCAATCTAGTTAGTTAAATTGATGTACAGTAGGCCTACTTGGTAATGAAACTTCTTTAAAACATCACATATAAGTGAGGAAAACAATGTCATGTTCTTATCTTGTTCTCTTTATTAGTAGCATTATGTCCCAGTTTGCCCTTTAAGCATGTGACTTACCTCGGCTCTTAAGGTTTTATAAATCTGGGATTTTAAAGCAGATTATCAGGGTAGTCTGGTCTGACAATCTGTCCACAGACAACCAGCAGCAGCAGCAGTACCCTTAGGTCACGTGAACCCACTTTGCTAAGACGATTTATGAGCCAGATCACAAATTTCACAGACAATACCAAGTCCTAGACTTCCTCCCAGCTCTCTTTGTACTGGTTACAGCGTTAGAATCATGCATCATGTGTTTGTAGCATTGATAGACATGTACAATTGTCAGTTCTTGAACCATGCGCAGTTTTAAATCTCAAATGTATTGCAGCTGAAAATGAACAGGGTAAAGAAACATGAAAATGAAGCGACAGTTCTGTCAAGCATACAGTTTTCCAGAAGGTGTGAAATCGGATGTGGCGTGTAATATGAACGGAGGTGAGCATTATGGTGTTATTGCTGTGGAGGTTATATCCTTCAATTAGTGTCACTGATCAGGCTTCTGCCTGTGGGGTGAGTCGTAAGACACCGGTGCACAAAAGCCAATAAATCATCCGTATTCGCTCCAGCTGCTGCACACTGCGCAGATATTTTCAGACAGCAATTTTCTGAGCAGTATAAGGGATGGGAGCTGTTAGCACAGAGGATGTTGAAGAATTTACGTGCACAAGAGTCATAGATTTAGTGTTTGGCTTGAGTGATGAGCTGACATAAGAGATTTTTCAGTCAATGTATATTTTCATATAACTACAGACATTTACATGTATTAATTTAGCAGGTGGTTTTTATGCAAAGTGATTTATAAATGATGAAAAAACACATTTTTCATAAAGTAGCTAACAATAGTAGCAGTATCAAAGTACAGAATTAAAGTAAATGTATACATTTATCACATAATAAAAATAAAATAAATATAAATATATATATAAATAATAATAATAATATAATATATAATAATAATAATATATAAAAAACATTTATATAAATATAAAAAAATATTAAATCTTAATCAATCTTAATTATTAAATAAAAAATATTTACTTATTTATATTTAATATATTTATGTTTTTTTTAATCTTTGTCTTTTTGTTGTTGTCATATATTTTTAAAGTCATTCATTTTAATGCATACCGAAAAATATAGTTACAAAATAGAAAATTACAAAAATGTCGTCTTTTTGGGTGAATCTCTTTACTTTTGAGTTGATATTATCAGTTCATATCAGTGAAAATTGTATCATTTTCTCACCTTCATGACATGTTGTATATTTTGCAAATGTATTTTTTTTATATAAAATATAAAAAACTATTTAAAAATATAAATAAGTATTAATTAAGATTATTCTATATGCATTGCATACATAATGATTTTCATGAGAATCATTATGTACTTAATATTTTTATTATGAAAAAAAAATTTAATTTGTGTATTTTACTCAAATTCTATACTTTGGGACAGTTAGTAGATCTAGTCCCTGACATGAAAAATAAGCAATATACACAATAACTAGTGAACAGGTATTTTGCATCATAGCTCATACTAAATTGTGTACTTGGAGTCTGTATTGCTCAATTAGTATCCAATACCATAACTGTTCTATAAGTGCTTGCTGAAGAGCTGTGTCTTTTAGCTATGTTTTGAAAGGTGTGTTTCTCAACAGCTGATTCAGTCAGACAGCCTCGTGATGGACCCCGCAGTTGACGACATCAGTCTGCTGAGCTCATTTAGTTTCCTGCCGCTGCCTCGCTGTCAGGTCTGCACACAATGAGATCAGCACTGCAGGAGTATCCTTTTCGCCCAGCAACTGCTGATGTACTCGCATTTCGGGTACAGGCACCGATCAGCCGTTGAAGAGAGCAATCTGCCCTTCACATCAACCTCTGCTGCTGCTGCTGCTACTGCAGTGTTTCTGCAGTCTGAAGCTAAAGCACAGCGCATCTGTCCTCTCGCTTTCAGAGCTCAAAGCCTTCAGTCAACACTAATGAGCTGCTGAGCTTCGGCATGCTCTTAGCTCGAAACAGACAGAGGCGGCAAATGCCACTGCGCGCTAGTCAGTGTGTGATTCTGTGCTCTAGCTTTAAGCTGGCGTACAGTTGTGCTGACACACAGTGCATCCTCACAGAAAACCAAAATAATTGGTTGTTGTCTGGGCTTGGTTTTATTCAGCAAAAAATAAACTACTTTTTCCTGTTTTCTCTCCCCAACAGTAAATAAGCACAAGCCATGGATTGAGACCACGTATCATGGTATCGTAACAGAAAATGACGACAAAGTTCTCCTGGACCCTCCGCTGATAGCCTTGGATAAAGATGCCCCATTGCGCTATGCAGGTAAGATCCTCCATCTTCTGGTCTCCGATGAGGCTGCCAGCCATTTTGCTTCCTCATGCTTTCCAAACCATAAAGAGATATTTCGCCTAAAAATGAAAGTTCTGTCATCGTTTCTTCCATAAAAAGGGATTGATTTTTTTTCCTAGGGGTGCTTTTCTATGTAATGAAAGTGAATGGGAATTAACAAAAAGCACCATAAAAGTAGTTCATATTGTTTAAGTGTTTTATACCACTTTTCAAGCTAAACTAGCTTTGTGAGATGCTCGGAAAACATTTCAATCATTATTTATTGAAAAGTTCAGTAACAAAAAACATTTCCATTATTTGAACTAAACATGAACTGAAATTAAATACAATATAAAAACTTTCACTTCAGCAATGCAACGTTTAAGTTGAAATACTAAAATAACTAAAACTAAAAAGAAGCTTAATAAAAATGATATAGACATTTACAAAACGCACAACATAATTCCTAAAATTAAAATGTAAACAAATTATAAAAATAAAGTCTAGTTTAAAATATTAACAAAATCTATAATAGTATATCAATGATTCTAAAGTAAAAATAGATTTGCTTTGGCTCTCAAATCAAAATACCAGGGAATTAGTAGTTTTTTTGACATAATTGATTTGAAACGCCATTGGTTCTTGTTTGCCATGTGACCAAACATCATGTGTGATGCTTTTAATGTCACCACTTTTATGGTATTTTTTGTGTCATATTGGACTTTGACCGCCTCGGTCTCCATTCACTTACATTATGTGAAAAAGAGTGAGCAGGATAATCTTTAAAAATTCACCTTTTACACATAAGAAGCCTTACAAGTGAGGGAGACAAATATTGACAGAATTTTCATTTTTACCATTAGAAGTTTGTTGCATTGATGACTGGAGTATATGCACCTGATTTGTCTCCAGTTATTAAAGCTGTCAAATGAGGGCGTATTATGATGAAATGCTGTTATTCATGTTTTCAATGAAAAGTCAGCAGAATATTTCTAAAGGTAATTTAGAAATTATCTTTCATTTAGTCAGATAGGAGCCATAATAAAAGTCCTTTGTGAACTTGTTTTGAATGATTTTTCCCTTGGTCTGGACTCTTGGTTCTTTAGTTTGATAATGTATTGATGGTATGACAAAGCTTTCCTACTCGCATCTTGTCAATTAAACCTTAAAATAGCTCTATAACAAACCATAATTACATTTTGAATAAAATACCTAAAATCATCAGCCTGCAGTTGAACTTGTTATAATAATTGATATGATTGGTGAAGTCAGCTCTTGTTGGTAATTAGGTTTGTAGATATTCTTGGAGTCTCTAATGCTCTAGGTTAATGGGGCTGTTTGTTTCTCCATGTACTGCGTTATGCTTCTTGAATTTATATTTGCTCGTGTCCCTAGACATTTAGCAGTAAATGTAGTACAAAACTGAATATGTAAAACACTGAGTTCCACTGATTCCTACAAAGTCCAGGTGCGAGCTATGATGGATGTTGGTGGTGTGCTTCTCCCTTATCTTTTTTCCACATATTGGAGATAATAAGTTTAAAAAGCAGTTCCAATTGAGGTATTTTTAAGCATGTTGCAGTAATAAGCTCATATTTAATCAGTACAGTTGAAGATAGGCAGTCCATAAACCCGTCACTTTTTTAAATTGCCTCTCTCGTTCGCCAAGCAACTGGTCGCCAGACTTCTAGAGCTCTTCTGATATCAAGATCAATGAAATTTCTTCTTACTCTGCTTGTTTCCTGTGAGAGGGAATGTGCAGCCCTAGCATTGGCTCTAGCCATTTTGAATCACTTAGAGATTTACTTTGACCTCGTTTCAAATCTCTATGCAGTGGTCCATCCATTGTCAATGCACTCCCTCCTTTCTCACGGTTTTAGTAGCAGTCCTTGTTATTGTCCTGGTGCATGAATATGGGACACTGCTATCAAATTAGTGGCAAACATTTGGGAGAAAGATTGGTCCACATGCACTAATATGGTTTACCTTGAGTTATTTGTATAAATATCAAAGCATTTAGGTCATTTATCACTGATAATCTCATCAGTGAAGGTGCCGCAGCACCTCATAAATATATAATTCCTCTGATAGTTCATAAGCAATCATTTCAGTAAGCTTTGTTTGTGTGAGCCAGCAGTGAGAGTGCAGACATTTGGCACACTGATTATATGAACAAGCTTTCTTAAATTGACTTTGAAGCGTCACATGGCTGTGTGGGTGACTGGCGCATTCTTAGCCTCTCTGCCAATGCCGGGCGGCTCAGGACATGGTGCCATGCTGACTAACTCACTTTACTCTGATCAGTGAGTTTGGCAAAAGCCATACAGAACTGTTGTGCCATTTAGACTCTTTTAAACCAGACCGTGCTGGTTTAATATAGTAAATATACTGTATATTTTTTATGATGTATTATTTTTATGATATGATATATATTAAAATGCCTTTTCCCCCCAAAACAATACAATAAATTTCTGACAATTAATGAAATATATTAACATTGTACCGAATAGGAATTTTATTATTTATTTATATATTGCTTTTATATTGTATTTATTTAATTATATTATTATATATTTTTTATATAGATAGATAGATGGTATTTATCACAAAATATATCACATTGTATTGAATATGAATATATTATTCATTTAATTGTATTATTTATATATTTTATATTGTATTAATTTAATG